AATTATGTATAAGATGAAGGATTTACAAATCCCTCGATGAAAAAAGTTTCATGCACAAAACACAGTGGTCATTGATGTGTTTCCCGTGAAAGGAAACCGCGGGATAATTTTACATATTCCAAAGAATCTACGGTTTTTTTTATTGCTGGATATATAAAAAATCGACGAAGTACGTGTATAAATTACAAAGGGGTTAGGGAAACAATCGCGATGTTTTTTTTTTTTTTTTTTTCGACGAGGATGAAGTGTATATATATTATTAATAGCTTAATGCATATGAAAAAAAAAAACGAATAGATATTTTGCGGAAGAAAAGTTTTGGAAAGAAAGCTTGAATCAACAAGCCGTCTAATTGTTAGTTGATGAGGTAGCCGGACGACTTGACGGAGCCGCGACTTGTGGTTGAGATGGATGAGGATGTGCAAAGAAGTGAGATGACGGTGATGGAGGTTGCGGGGTTCCCTTCTGTGTACCATCGAAGGATGGAGCCCGAGGATGATGAACCAATTCAGGGCGGTGATGATTCAGTGGTGGAGGTTGTAATGCAGCAGGATGAGAAGAATGGTAATGGTAGTTCATGTTATTATGTTGTCCGGGGTGTTGCGGCGGCGCCTGTGGTGGCGGCTGGGGCATCAATCGAGGATTTTGGGAAAATCCAAATGAATTGCTTGACGATGGAGATGGGCCCACGGGTGATGGTGGGTGAAGTTGATGCACGGGAGGAAGCTGGTGAGGGTGAATCGACTGGGGTGGCGGCGGACCAGATCTGAGATCACGAGAAGGACCACCAGACAATGGATTAGACACATTATCAAAAGCCGGGGGCCTCTGTTGATAGAGATGCTGGGATTGAGGTTGTGGCGTCGAGAACATGCGATTCGGTGTAGCAAAGCTTATGTGCATGCTATTTGCCATATGATGAACCGGTGGTGGTAGAGGATGCGGTGTTCGCTGATCATGAGTTTTCTCGTGCTTACGAAGCGACCTTGAATGATAATAAGCTTTTGTGCAATTTTTGTACGG